TTTTTTAAGTTGGACACAATATCTTTATTTTATTTATTTATTTTTATGTGGTACTGAGGATCGAACCCAGGGTCTCACACATGCTAGGCAAGAACTCTACCACTGAGCCACAACTCCAGCCTTACATCTGTATTTCTTAAATCTGGGTGTAAGGCTCATATGGTGAACTTTTAAACAACAATGATGTATAGATTCCACCTATAGAGATGATTTAATTATCTGCAATGGGGCCTATGCATGGTATCAGAGCTCTGTAAGGGGCTGAGAATGTGGCTCAATGGGAGAGCATTGCTAGGCTCTAGGTACGGTACAAAAAAAGAGAGAGAGAAAAGAGTTCTCTAGGTAATTTTTAATGTGCAGCTAAAATTGAGAGCCTCTAATACCATCACTAAGCCAAACTCTATCCTCAAAACTTTCCTGAACCTCAACTCCAATACTGTATACCAACCTTCTATTCCCATCAACACACTGATCCCCATCCTGAAGTTTATCATCTTGGAAACTCAATGCTCTATAATACCAACTACTATCTTTCTGCTGCTCTGTGGCCTTTAACCTTGCTAAGCCCTTCATGTCCCTCATTCACTCACTTTTTAAATCTACTGTTCTTGTTTAAGCCTTAATACCTTTACTAATTATTAGCCCACATTACAGAATATATTACCTCAATAATTCTGTGCCAGATCCTTCAGTATCATCTTACGGGTTCATTATTCATTGTGCAATCTTAAATCAATACAACAACCTGCTTTCCCACTTCTTTTATTACCTGGATTACTCAGGTAATAAAAGAACAAAGTCCTGCAGATGGTACCCAGTTGGTGGCATACCCACACAGAAAATTATTTTATGAAGCTCTGAAATACTGCATTTAAAATCTATAATGAAATATATGCTTGGCAGGGAGAGGAGGATTAAAAAGCAATTAAGTAAAAAAAAAAAAAAGTATCCCATTTCCCATCCCTGTGTTACTTATACAATCACCTATATCATATCCTTATCCAACCAGGTAAACCACAAAATAACTGTACCAAGTTAAAAAAAAAAAAAACATGTTTTTTTTTAAGATTAGAAACAAGGTCTACATGTCAACCTGGAAAGAAATGACATATGGAAATAATTAAGTCTATCCATCATCCTGAAATATGACAGGCCTCTTTATTCTTTCCATCTTAAATTACTTTGTATCAATCCTAACCTGAGTTGTAATCCAGGCCAAAACAACCCTGAAGATGACACTGTCCACCTAATAGTTGTCAGATTAAATAATCTACTATAAAGAGAAAACAGCTAACATATAAACAAACCCTTTTAATGATGTTTAATGAATCTACAATATGCCCACATATCATTACCACAAGCCCAATTCCCTGGTGCTTAGAATGGGCCTATACAAAAGTTCAAATTTACAATTTCTTGACCTTTCCTAAAACCCACCTAGGCCTCCCCAGAGGACTCTGCAGAAAGAGTATGTACATTCACTTAATAAATATTGAGCTCCTATTAGGTACAGTGCTGGAAACAATAAGCAAAATAGCAAGCTCCTTGAGAAAAGGCCTAGAGCACCGACACAAGCAAGACAGAAAACAAGAAGCAACCGACATGTACCCCACCCACTTCCCCAGACACTCTCACTTACTGGCCAGGGTGCCTGACCAACCACAAGCAGACACTACTGCAGGAATCCAAAAAAGGGGCATTAACAGGTTACTATTCAAAGATAAAAGCTAACCTCTTCTAAAATAAAAGCCTACTCTAAATTTCATACATTCAATTCACAAACATTTTTAAGAAAAGAGACAAAATAAAAGACAGACAATAGTAGGTACTCAAATATTTCTTGGTGAACAGATGGTTTGACACTCATAACTGAAATATTCTTCACTAATCTGATATAAACACTTTATTTTAGAAATTTAAACAAATATAACATTTTTTGACATAAATAAAATGTTTCAACTTATTTTCAAACTTTTTGAAGATATTTTTCAATCTAGACTGGTAAATTTCTGGCACCTGAAGATACTGTTAACAGGTCAAGCTTTGATGTATCAGATTAAGACACTAGGTTCTGAATTATTCTATATGTAAGAGTAACTTACATTGGGGTGACTCCGAGGAGGTACTCGTTCTCTTGGAAGTCTTTCATAGTCATATCGTCCCTCAGACCACATTTCATCTCTTCTGTGAGCCACTAACCAAAAACAAAAACAAAATTTGGTTTTTATGTTACTAGGAAGTAACAGAGAAAGTAGTAGCAAATTATTCCACTACAACACAAATATTTTCCAGACATCCTAAGGGAAAAAATATATAAGTTACAAAAAGGGAAAAACTGATTAAAGCAATGTTTCTCCTAAACAATTTTGAGATTTTCTAAAAAACAAAGACAAAAAATCACTTTCCTTTTATTTTCAAGGTTATTTAAAGCTTCAAAGAAACCAATTATATGAAGAGCCACAGACCACAAATACTTCATTCTCAGCTAGCAAAAAAAATAGGAAAATTCAGTTAAATAAATAATTTTTTTAAAAAAAGAGGCAGAGCTAGGGTTGTGGCTCAGTGGTACAGTGCTTACCTCGCATGTGTGGGGTACTGGGTTCAATCGTCAGCACGCATACATAAAATAAAATAAAGGTATTGTGTCCATGTACAACTAAAATTTTAAAAAGTTTTTTAAAAAGGGCTGGGGATGTGGCTCAGGAGGTAGAGCGCTCGCCTGGCATGAGTGCGGCCCGGGTTCGATCCTCAGCACCACATACAAAGAAAGATGTTGTATCCGCTAAAAAACTAAAAATAAATAAATTAATTAATTTTTAAAAAAAAGTTTTTTAAAAAAAATAAATAAAAGAAAAGGGAGATCAGCAAAGCCACTCCTTATTTACTGATGAGTAGTTTCTATAACATTAGTTTTTTGCTTTTCTACATTCTGCAGGTTTGTATCTCTTCCATAGATGGGCAGTGAAGAACCTTTAACTGGGAAAAAAGTGTTAAATGAACAATCCTGTAAAAACACACTCAACAAATCTTGACACAAACCACAATAATCTCTGACACAGACCCTCTTGAGTTTCTTTTTAATGTTGAAAATTTATTTTAATGAAGAGACACCTTCATCAAACTTGAAATTAAAGCAGAAGTTAATACCTGCATTTTTGCAGTTGGGAAAGAGAGGAAGCTTTCTCTTTTCATAAAGGTAAGAAATGTTGCCTACTTTGAGATTACGATGATGACCGATTACGCTGGACCCCAGAGGAATTTGCAGAAAGCAGGTCTATTCAAAATCTCTGGATCCCTCTGCTCTCCGCTTGTAATGCAGCCCGCCATATCACAGAACAGGCCCAGAGGTCTGACGGTGTGGTAGACACGTCACCCCAATTGGAGGAGGGGCAGAGCAGAGCCGCCGCCCGCGTCGGCAAGGTAGGCAGACCTGCGACCGAACGGCAGTACAGGCCCAGAGGCCTGCCGGCGTGGTAGACACGTCAACCCATTTGAAGGAGGGGCAGAGCAGAGCCGCCGCCCGCCACCCGCGCCTGCAAGGTAGGCAGACCTGCGACCAACCAGCAGAACAGGCCCAGCGGCCTGCCGGCGTGGTAGACACATCACCCCAATTGGAGGAAGGGACCGGCTGCCTCCCGCAAGGTAGGCAGACCGCGCGACCCGGAGAAGGGGCCCAACGGCCTGCAGGCCTAGTTGAAAGATCACCCCAATTGGAGGAGGGGCACAGCCACCGCCAATGCCTGCAAGGTAGGCAGACCTGCAACCTGGAGAACAGGCCCAGCGGCCCGCCAGCATGGTAGACAGATTACCCCTTTTGGAGGAGGGGCCCAGACGTTGCCCGCAGGTAGGCAGACCACGCGACCTAGAGAAGGGGCCCAGCGGCCCGCCGGTGTGATAGACAGATCACCCCAATTGGAGGAGGAGCACAGCCACCGCCCGCACCTGCAAGGGAGACTTTGCAAGTATACAAGAGCAATATAAATATATAGGGGGAAAATTCAATAACACAACAGTTTCACCAAGCAGAAAGAAACGCAAGCAGTATGAAAAGACAAGGAAAGAAAGGACCACAAGCAATGCAGGTCAACTCAACTTTAGAAGAGGTAATAGCTGCAGCAGATGGAATGTCAGATAAAGAATTCAGGATTTACATGCTTCAGATGATCTGGAGTCTCAAGGAAGACATTAGACAGCAAAATCAGACAATGAAAGATCACTTCAACAATGAATTACATAAACAAATCCAAGAAGGAAAGGATCAACTATACAGGGAGATAGAGGTTATAAAAAACAAACAAACAGAAATCCTAGAAATGCAGGAAGCAATAAACCAACTTAAAAACTCAATGGAGAATACTACCAGCAGAGTAGAACACTTAGAAGATAGAACATCAGACAATGAAGACAAAGTATTTCAACTTGAAAAAAACATAGACAGCTCAGCAAGACTCTTAAGAAACCATGAGCAGAACATCCAAGAAATATGGGATAACATAAAGAGACCAAACTTAAGAGTCATTGGGATACAGGAAGGTATAGAGGTCGAAACCAAAGGAATGAGCAATCTGTTCAATGAAATGAGAAAACTTCCCAGACTTGAAGAATGAGACAGAATCCCAAATCCTAGAAGCATACAGAACGCCGAACGTGCAAAATCATAAGAGATCCACACCTAGACACATTATAATGAAAATGCCCAACATACAGAATAAAGAGAGAATTTTAAAAGCTACAAGAGAAAGGAAGCAGATTACATTTAGGGGTAAGCCAATCAGGATAACAGCTATCTTTCAACACAGACTCTGAAAGCTAGAAGATCCTGGAACAACAAATTCAAACGCTGAAAGAAAATGGGTTCCAACCAAGAATTGTGTATCCAGCGAAATTAAGCTTCAGGATGGAAGATGAAATTAAAACCTTCCACGATAAACAAAAGCTAAAAAAATTTGCAGCTAGAAAACCATCTCTTCAAAAACATCCTCGGCAAAACATTACAGGAAGAGGAAATGGAAAATAACAATGAAAACCAACAGAGGGAGGTAGTACAGTAAAGGGAAAAAATAATCAAAGAGGAAAAACAAACCATGTTAAGTAACATAAATAAACAAATATGGCTGGAAGAACAATCCATATCTCAATAATAACCCTACATGTTAATGGCTTAAACTCACCAATTAAGAGACACAGGCTAGTAGAGTGGATAAAAAAAAAAAGATCCAACAATATGCTGCCTATAGGAGACGCATTTGATAGGAAAAGACATACATAGACTGAAGGTGAAAGGTTGGGAAAAATCATATCACTCATATGGACTTCGGAAACAAGCAGGAGTGTCCATACTCATATCAAATAAAATAGATTTCAAGCCAAAGTTAATCAAAAGGGATAAACAGGGACACTACAAACTGCTCAAGGGAACCATACACTAACAAGACATAACAATCATAAATATATATGCCCCAAACAATGGTGCAGCTATATTCATCAAACAAACTCTTCTCAAGTTCAAGAGTCTAATAGACCACCATACAATAATCATGGGAGACTTCAACACATCTCTCTCACCACTGGACAGATCTTCCAAACAAAAGTTGAATAAGGAAACTATAGAACTCAATAACACAATTAATAACCTAGACTTAATTGACATATATAGAATATACCACCCAACATCAAGCAGTTACACTTTTTTCTCAGCAGCACATGGATCCTTCTCAAAAATAGATCACATATTATGTCACAGGGCAACTCTTAGACATTATAAAGGAGTAGAGATAATACCATGCATCTTATCTGATCATAATGGAATGAAACTAGAAATCAACGATAAAAGAAGGAAGGAAAAATCATGCATCACTTGGAGAATGAACAATAGGTTACTGAATGATCAGTGGGTTATAGAAGATATCAAGGAGGAAATTAAAAAATTCTTAGAGATAAATGAAAACACAGACACAACATACTGGAATCTATGGGACACATTGAAAGCAGTTCTAAGAGGAAAATTCATTGCTTGGAGTTCATTCCTTACAAAAAGAAAAAAACAACAAACAAATGATCTCACACTTCATCTCAAAATCCTAGAAAAAGAAGAGCAAAACAACAGCAAAAGAAGTAGAAGGCAAGAAATAATTAAAATCAGAGCTGAAATTAATGAAATCGAAACAAAAGAAACAATTGAAAAAATTGACAAAACTAAAAGTTGGTTCTTTGAAAAAATAAATAAGATCGACAGACCCTTAGCCATGCTAACGAAGAGAAGAAGAGAGAGAACTCAAATTACTAGCATACGGGATGAAAAAGGCAATATCACAACAGACACTTCAGAAATACAGAAGATAATCAGAAATTATTTTGAATCCTTATACTCCAATAAAATAGAAGATAGTGAAGGCATAGATAAATTTCTTAAGTCATATGATCTGCCCAGATTGAGTCAGGAGGATATAAACAACCTAAACAGACCAATATCAATTGAGGAAATAGAAGAAACCATCAAAAGACTACCAACTAAGAAAAGCCCAGGACCGGATGGGTATACAGCAGAGTTTTACAAAACCTTTAAAGAGGAAGTAATACCAATACTTTTCAAGCTATTTCAGGAAATAGAAAAAGAGGGAGAACTTCCAAATTCATTCTACGAGGCCAACATCACCCTGATTCCTAAACCAGACAAAGACACTTCAAAGAAAGAAAACTACAGACCAATATCTCTAATGAAACTAGATGCAAAAATCCTCAATAAAATTCTGACGAATCGGATACAAAAACATATCAAAAAAATTGTGCACCATGATCAAGTAGGATTCATCCCTGGGATGCAAGGCTGGTTCAATATACGGAAATCAATAAATGTTATTCACCACATCAATAGACTTAAAAACAAGAACCATATGATCATCTCGATAGATGCGGAAAAAGCATTCAACAAAGTACAGCATCCCTTTATGTTCAAAACTCTAGAAAAACTAGGGATAACAGGAACATACCTCAATATTGTAAAAGCAATCTATGCTAAGCCTCAGGCTAACATCATTCTGAATGGAGAAAAATTGAAGGCATTCCCTCTAAAATCTGGAACAAGACAGGGATGCCCTCTCTCACCACTTCTGTTCAACATAGTTCTCAAAACACTGGCCAGAGCAATTAGACAGACGAGAGAAATTAAAGGCATAAAATGCTGCACATTCTGTG